CTTTATTGATAGATCAATAGTGTTTTAGTGTTGTAGTTTTTTCCTGTAAAATTTTACAATTTATTATATAACTAGAAAACACTTGATTATGATAAACATTTCTAATCAGGCACTTGAATTATTAACCCTACATTCTGTTTCATCAAACATTTTAACAATTTCGTCAAATCTATTAAAAAATTATTTTGTATTCTGACATCATGCTTAATCTGGGCATAACTTTAGCCGTTGTTAGAGCTTAGGTCTACATAACATCAGGTGACACTATATGTGGCAGTTTGTCCTGACACAGTTGTGTCCTTGACACTTCACCTTATTTGCTGTGGACAGCATGCAGCCAGCTTCTGGTATACTATTCATTGATGTAGCTGCCAGCAAGTACAAGGTGACTCTGTCTCAAAATAATTCTGATTATTTACAGAGCAATAAACCAAGTGAGAAAATTGTACAACTTTGTGTCAGATATTTTACTGGCTAAGTGTAAAGTGGCCACCTTTGTTCTATCCAAAGTGATCAAATTATGAGATGCTAGGATTTCTGGGACCCAGTTAAGGAACATTGCATTCTTTGTAAGCTCACTCTAGCAGAATGTCTTTGTTATTATTGGCAAAGGTGTGATGAAATAGTCAATTTTCAGATAAACATCGTGGAAATAACTGCAAACTTTCTTTTCAGGATGTTATAGTGGAACAGAATAATTGTCTTTAAAAACACAAGTTGGATTAACTGACATTTATATATTGCAGTAAAATACAGAGATTAATGTTCAGTGTCACAGGAAATTTCACTCAGTAATTTTGTCTTTGCCCTGAAGAAGAGAACGATTTTGAGAAAAAGGTAATACTATTCACTGTGTAGTGCCTGTGATAGTGTTTGTAATATTTATGCTGAGATTAATGTAAGTTAGTGAATGTGTGAGCTAGTCATGTGTGTGGTGTTGCATAAGTCCTTTTTAAGTATGTGTATGTGTTTGATTATATGTTATTATAATGGGTAAAAAATAGACACTAAATAATTGAAAGAAAGTTATAGAAAAGAAATCTGTTCAAACCTCATTTTAATATTCTGTTTGGCTACAACTAAACCACTAATCACTGCATACTGCAGGACAACCCCTTTCAAGAAAGGAGAAATGCAGAGGCTTGGAAGCTACATATACAAATGGGGAATTAATTTTTTATAATGTATAGATTCATTTAATTCAGATAATCAATAAACACTACAAGTACAAAGTATTCAGATGACACATGCTCATCATCTGATCTGACCATGCTACGATAATTGAGTAAATTAAAATCATACATTTTTTATGTCCATGACAACATTGTATTGAGAATGGTTGTTGTACCACACTAATCTTTTTATGTTTTATTTCACTTAAAAATGTTTTAATTTATCAAATCATTGTTGCTTTTTTATACTTGTAATTGTTAAAACTTAAAGCTTTTTATATTTGAATTAAAACAATGTACTTTCCTTTTGTTGCGTTTGTGTTTGTTTTCCTTGACAGGTAAAATTCAGTCCTTTGAAAGGTACGCTGACACAAGATCTGACAGAATTGTCTTCATTAGGGATTAAACATAACAAGTAACTGGGGTATTTCTGACAGCTGTATCCCAGAATGCATATATATTATCAACATGTACCTGGAACTTTGTTTTTACAGTGATTATAGTCTATATCATTAATGTAAGTTCGGTTTACCTGTGTTTTTACCTGTGGTTCTCACCTGTACGTGTATAAAACAAGAGGCCCAAAGGGCCTTAACGGTCACCTGAGGGATATATGTCAATAATCTGGGGATTTTAAAATGTTGCAAAAATGTAACAACACTTGTGCAGGACCAAGTGTAAAACATCTGTACCAAGTTTGATCATGACCCACCCAATGGTTCTTGAGAGGAAATCCGTAATGTTTTAGCCAAACAGAGGCCAGGGTGGCCATCTTGGATTTTGAAAGGCCCCAAAAAATTAAAACACTTGCCAGGACCTTGTGTAGAACATTCGTATTAAGTTTCGCCTTTTCCCCCTTATTGGGGCCACGCTCTTTTTCTTTGCAAACTTGAAGCGGCTTCCCATGGGGATGCTTTGTGCCAAGTTTGGTCAAAATCCATCCACTGGTTCTTGGGAAGTAGTCATTTAATGAAGGTTTTTACATATGGCCCCATTTACACCCCTTATGGGCCCCAAAGGGAACATTATCACTTTTTTCAACATAATTTCTGATGTCCTTCACTAAGGGATGCTGTCTACCAAATTTGGTTGAAATTGGTCAAAGTTGAATTTTCTATCCTTTTGAGTGCCCCCTAGTGGGGCCGTTTTTGACCCGATTTTTTTTCATTCTCAAACTTTGTAGACCTTGCTATAAGGACCCTAAATATCAAATATGAATTTAATCTGACTGTTGGTTCATGAGAAGAAGATTTTTAAAGATTTACCTAATTTTACCCCCTTTTTCCCCCTCCTGGGGCCCCTATTGGGGCCATGCCTTTTTTCTTCGCAAACTTGAAGCAGCTTCCCATGGGGATGCTTTGTGCCAAGTTTGGTCAAAATCCATTCAGTGGTTCTTGAAAAGAAGTCGAATATCTGAAAAGTTCACGACGCCTTCGGCTCAGACGACCTAAAAACTCAGCCATATAAGATTCAAAATGAATCCCCAATTCCATCATTCATTAATAGGTTCTGATACTTAGCTGATATTGTTAGAAACCAATCATGGCTAATGCTCAGTTTGATTTTAAGTTCATCCAAAAAAGAATAGGGGGTAACAACTTAGCATATAACGGTCATTTATACAGAATTAGGTCTTCTTGCCGAGAAAGGTAAATAATTATGTAAATTATTATGCATAGATTTATTATTTATCAATTTAATAGAGTAAGAAGTTGATTCATTTTTTAGAAGGACATGTGCATGTACATATGTACTTTCTATCTGCAATACTGAAGTACTAAGAGACAAAATATCAATAATTAATTGTTGATTTATAATGATACATCTGTAATATAATTTTAAAGTCATACATCTGTGAATATGTTAACCCGTCTGTGTCATCAAAATTGAAATCTCTTTTTATTCCTTTCAGAACTTACTGGAGATGTACTATCAGCACGTGCCTTGCTACTGTAAATACCCGCAACAACATCATAGTAGGAGTCGGATGACATCCACACAACCATCCACAAGTTTCTTCTTTGAAGTTATATGAAATGATGGACTTTAGTGCATATTAGTATACATTATGTAGATGCTGCTGTGTGTGGCATTAAATTGAACTTTTAGTGCTGTAAATAAGTTTCTTCTTTGAAGTTATTATTAATGTTAATTTTTTAGTATTTGTAACTAATGTCCTTCATGTAACTTTGCAGTCGAAAATAAAAAAAATACAGGTTGATCTACAAGTAAGCTATCTCGGGTAAATGCATTACCTATATGAAACAGACTTTAATTACCCTTCCTTCGATGTTTCTACCTATTGTCGTGGACATGTATATGCGTTCAGGGACCCCGCTCTGACACAACACACAACTGACTAATTGTTGATATTTAAAGATTCTGTAGAATGAGCCACAAGGGAAGCTCTGACACAACACACAACTGACTGTTCACATTTAAGGATTCTGTAGAATGAGCCACAAGGGAAGCTCTGACACAACACACAACTGACTAATTGTTGATATTTAAAGATTCTGTAGAATGAGCCACAAGGGAAGCTCTGACACTACACACAACTGACTAATTGTTGATATTTAAAGATTCTGTAGAATGAGCCACAAGGGAAGCTCTGACACTACAAACAACTGACTAATTGTTGATATTTAAAGATTCTGTAGAATGAGCCACAAGGGAAGCTCTGACACAACACACAACTGACTAATTGTTGATATTTAAAGATTCTGTAGAATGAGCCACAAGGGAAGCTCTGACACAACACACAACTGACTAATTGTTGATATTTAAAGATTCTGTAGAATGAGCCACAAGGGAAGCTCTGACACAACACACAACTGACTGTTCACATTTAAGGATTCTGTAGAATGAGCCACAAGGGAAGCTCTGACACAACACACACACTGACACAACTGACTGTTGATATTTAAAGATTCTGTAGAATGAGCCACAAGGGAAGCTCTGACACAACACACAACTGACTGTTCACATTTAAGGATTCTGTAGAATGAGCCACAAGGGAAGCTCTGACACAACACACAACTGACTGTTCACATTTAAGGATTCTGTAGAATGAGCCACTGAGGTAGCTCTGACACAACACACAACTGACTAATTGTTCACATTTAAGGATTCTGTAGAATTGGCACAGTGTTATTTCTGGCACAAGGTTACACAGAAATGACAAATAGTCCTTATTTGGGAACAACTCTGTAGAACTAGCCATTTGGGTAGTCCTCACACTATAGATTAAGGAATAGTAAGTAAACTGTCCTAATTAGAGTCTGGACAACTATGGAAGTGTAGACATTCAATATAAATGACAAGGTGCCTATACTTTAAGTTCTGTCAGAAAACATACAAAGAGTACATTAACTATAGGAATTATAGAGTTTAAGAAAATTACCCCAGTTCAGTACTGCCACTGTCCATGTGTGTTCTTTATTAGTGATTTTAACTGGAAAGTAACACTAAGGATTTTTCTGTTCCTGGGATGTACTGTAAGTCACTTTCATGAATACTTCACTCTTCAGGCATATTCACCAATTCATGATTTCACAAAGGCTGATCAAGGAATTACTTTTAAATTTGCAAATGATCGTAACAAAATCAACATGAATGCCATCCAGAGATATTTTGGTACAAATAATCACGAAGGATTTGATTCTTTTAAAGTGAAAATAAATTCCCCTCAAAAAGTAAGTAATTTACATTTAACAGTTCTGATAAAACAGATTCTGTAATTCTTACAACACACCTTTAACTATTTCAGATATTATAGACAAATTCTCTAGAACTCCTAGTCCAGGGCAGATTTCTTCAAACAAGAGATTCACCATTTTGACTTCTATATTTATTTGTGTATACACTTTACATAAATGTGTCTTGTGATTATCACAAGACATAACAACATCTGGGTTAAACAGGAACATGTGACATGTGTCATCTAGCCATCTAAATTACAACCAATATAATTCCCAACAATAACAGATGGTCATGCCAACCTGTTCATACATACACACAAAAAGAAGAGAATGTGGAAGTCATACAATACAACAGCACATTTGAAACCTATTGAAGACTTAATGTTTGTTCAAAAATGTATAACCTACCTGTATACATCTTCATTTAATGAAATATGTAGTTAAAAGATCTCAAGAAAAAATTATGACTAGGTATCACATTTTATATATACTACAAGATGATGTAATATTGTGACATGATGTGACATTCATAAATTTTGAACTGAAATGACACCTGTCTTTGCAAATCTGAAGTCAACTGATGACGACACTTGTCACATGATAGATCACATAACAGTGTTGATAAATACAGAGACAAGCTAAAGTGCTTTAATCATACATTCTATACTAAGCACAATACATACAATACAATCACATTTGGAATCAATAAATCAATAAATAATATGACACTTTATGGTCACTGATGCACATCCATAATTCACTCATCCATTACTAATTATATGTAATATATCATATAATGGTAAAAATTTATAATATCAAACGCAGACATTATCTGTCAATTATCAACCTGGACATGGCTTTCTCATCACATAAGCTGACTATGGTATTTAACCAAGATGAAGTTATACTCCCTGGTATATATACAAGTCTAAAACTTCTATTGATTTGCACAAGTCATACATTAATATATTTGTTAATTCTGTTGATCTTCCTGACACCATTTCAGTCAAGAGATAGCATCCACTCACATTTCACCCAGGATCATTAATCAAACATCAAAATCAATATTGTCATAATTAACTTAACATGATCCCAGAGTGTTAACACATAACCCTAATTCAATGTTGTGAGATGAGTTCCCTGGTATATAATGGGGAATTTGATAAAAACATATTGTTTGGATTTCCAATGAAAACAATACAGATGATGGTGGACTTTGTCATCAGTGTTTTGTCCAATTAATCAACTGAAAATCAGCAATGACTTATATTTACTCATGGAAATTTCATTGTGGCATGTTTTTCTTTTTCTTCCTCTCCTCTTTTTTGGAATAGATAAGAAATCAATTAAGTCAGGCAATTGTATTTGTTCAAAACTCCTTTATGAGTAGATATTAAAGTTCCTTGGTTATATATATATATATATATATTGACTAATCAGCAATTCTAAAATCCAGAGAGTGATTTTACAGCTATATCATTTGATGAAAACAATTCTAAGAAACAGCACTTCCCAATCACATAAAGAATAAACAATATCTACCACTCTTCCCTCACAAAAATCACAGTTTATACACAAAATATTTATTGATAAATATCTTTCAGAAAGAAAGAAAATCTTTTTAGAAATTAACACAACAATAATGAATGTTCAATAACAGATCTTGATAAGGAAATCAATTTCATGTTTTTTCATTATAATTTTGCACTGAAAAATATCTTCCATAACATTCTGTATAGTTTTACTACATTTGTCATTACTACATTGTAGTTTTCCCTAATAGTATATCAAACAAATCTCATCTTTTTATGATCACAAATTACTTCAATATCATGTTAAAAAATTCATCCGTTTGGTCCTTGTAGTTATGTGGGTGGTATTCAGGTGTTATTATCAAAATGTTTTGGTAAATTTAACTTGGTTGTAATCGAAATATTTTGTTCTGTTAAATTCTGTTATTTTAAACTTAACCCCTTTCTTTGCAATCTAGATATGAGAGGGAAATAATGGGTAGTTTGGTGGCACAATAGTAATGAACCCATCTTCCACCTAGAAGTCCTGGTTTTGATTCCCTGAACAGACATGAAAAAGTATGGGGTCACCTGTTTGACCTCATAGTTTTCCTCATATCCTCTATGTACTCCTTGCACACTTACATCTGGCTAACAAAAATGATAAGTAAAAGTTGAAATTGTTTCACAACTCTTGTAAAATCAATGAAATTCATATTATTGTGAGACAATAAAAATGACTAAAATTATCTATTGGTTTTTGAATGATCTTATCAAAATATTTTTTTCTATGTTCTATTGTTTTTTCATAATAAAACTAATGAAAGTATTTCTTTTCAACAGATCCATTGAAAGTGTACCAAACTTATACAACTTATGATAATCATTTCTGATTCGCCAACGTTGACTCAAAAAGAAATGAAAGTAACTATAGCATACCGTTAACTATAAACCTAACACAAATATCTGGAATGTCCTGCATATGAATGGATTTCTTCTCAACCTTAGGTTTCAAAGTTGAATCAATGTCAACCAATGATCTTATTAACACTAACAATTCTAAAGTAAAACCGTCACTTTTTGAAGTATGACAACATGGTAACTCCCTACCACTTATCATGGATATCCTTTGATCTACCTGTAATCAGAAGTATTTCAAATATTTTCCGATGTATTACCCTGCAAACTGTACCTAGTACTGGTGTTAATGTGAGTACAACCAAATTAAACTTAACATCAAAATGTGATATTTTTGAAGACTAGACTAATTCAAAATTCCATTTCACTTAAAAAAAAAAAATCTGATGTCTTTCCACACCTATCCTTATTACACTATTATACTTATTACTATTCTACGGTGTTCAAACTTTATTTTTTTAAATAAATTTGCATGTAAATAAGTTTGTTCATGTTTAAAAAAGTCTTTAAAACAAATTATTGGAAGTCCACAGATTTTCATTCTATGCTTCATAAGAATAAAGCTTTAGAACCAAAACTGATCACATCTAAGACTTCTCCTAAGTGTAACGGAGACTTCCAGTTTTGATTCAAACTTCTTTGCTCCCAAATCTTAGTTTTCCAGCCTGTTAATCCTGATCAGAAGATGGGTATATAGCTATCAATTTTTGCACGATGTCTTTGTGCTACACACTCAGCGATCCACACGATGTTGCGGTTTTCCTGCTCCTTCAGTTTGACATAGGAGTAAAAGGTACCCATTTGAAACTGTTGCATGAAGGAATTTTTCATCAGTTGTACCTAAAAGCATTTCAAATACATTAATAATTTCAGTTTTGAATATTTCAGCATCAGAGACTGAAAGTAACATAATAAATATGGTATTCTTTATTTCATTTAGAAGAATTTAATTGCATTTGTTATTAACGTAAACCTTGAGGTTATCTCCCGTTTCAGAAACTGCCCATTGTTTTTAGTTGGTTGACCTACAGTGGGAGATAACTCCTGATCTAATGGCAGGGGATGATTACATGAGCTTATAGTTGGAGATATTTGTGAGAGATTTAATTTTGCTATATCTGTGGTTATAAAAGACTGCACAGGGCCAAGTAAATACTCAAAATCTCCGAAAATGTATGTATATATATATATATATGTATATATGCATGTTCTGCTGTTTACTGTCAAAGGGGCATTGTGCATAATTCAATCCCAGCGAATTAATACAAGGTAGTACAACCATAAAAATATGAGCCCCACAAAATTAAACAACCATACAGCAATAAAATCCTTACCTCACGATCAAAGAATCTATCCTCCAGTGTTTTGTCCCCAGGGTTGGTACCAGATCCCTCAAACAATTCTTTATATTCCTAAATCATAAAATACAAAATCTACATTGAATATAAAATTTTGCAAAGAATCCTTAAGATCAAAGCCTAACTGAGTATAAACGGCTGTTAATGGAATATTTTCACAATCAAAACATATGATGATGGGTTACTGAAATGTTACTACTTGTGGAAGATATCTTTTCTTATATAAGCTTCTACATTTACTGTTGCTATTTCTTAAATGAATGTAGAGTGTCTTACACCATAGATGTCAGCAACAGCACGGACTTGGTCATAATCATCTGCCCTGCCTAGCTGAGTCAGTCCATATGGGTTCAGCTTCCCACAGCGGGGATACAGTTTTGCACGATCATCCTTGGTCAACTCAGTACCAAAGGAGTTGATAGTAATAATGAAAGCTCGTCGATCTGCCTCAAACTGAAACCGGTGAAATTTAAACAGGTCAAAATTTTCAAGTTTTTTATGAAATAATTTCATTATATTTCTATGAATTAAAATTTTGTGATCTGAATGTAAAAAGACATTAATACACATATGTCTCACTATTTCTCAGATAAAATATTTGCTTTCATGTTAATGTACCATGAAATAGAGAAAATATCATCCCAACCAAAATAACCCACTACATCATAATATTTTTAACTTTGGAAATTGAAAGTTCAAGATTTCTTCCAAAAACCTGTCAGCTGAACTGGCTGATAAACTGGAAATAATGTCTTTAACAAAACCATGAAATTTCAGTGAGTTATACATTAACTGAAAACTTATCATATGGATTGTCTGGTGACACTTCATGAAAACTATTTGTTAAGATTTGTTAAGATGTGAGGAAGTTTGATCAACATTCATTGTTGTAAACTGCTTTAGTTCACTATGCAGAGAAATGAGACACTTGACATTATCTGACTATTGCACCTACATTTTAGGATTTAGATAATGAGTGTTTCTAAAACCTACTAATAATTTTCTGAAGAATAATTAAGACAAGAGTGCCGTTGACACAATATACGCCGCCACAACATATAAAGATAAAAAAAAACCTAAAATCGCCACTTCCAGCTTATCCACCCATTGTAGTAGTGACATTGAGCAAGTTTCGTGAAAATCTGATCATTAGTTTAGGAGGAATTACATTCAAAAGGCTCCACTATGAGCAAGCTACAAACACAAAGATGAAAATGGCATAAATCTTACAAAAATCAATGAACCGTAAAATCACCCCTTCATGCCCTTCATGCACATTGAACCATTGTATTAGTAACACTGAGCAAGTTTTATGAAAATCTGATCATTAGTTTAGGAGCAAGCTACAGATACAAAGTTGAAAATGGCATAAATCTTACAAAAATCAAAGAACCGAAAAATCGCCCCTTCATGCACATCTACCCATTGTAGTAGTGACATTGAGCAAGTTTCATGAAAATCTGATGATTAGTTAAGGAGGAGTTGCGTTCACAAGAAATGGATGAACGGACGGATGGACAGATGGAGAAGATGATGCCAATATACGACCGCCTCCGGCGGCGTATAAAAAACCCACTCATGGGAGACAACTAACACAGAAACAAAGATGCATAACTTTAATGGAAGGATAGCTGTTAGGAAGATCTGAAACATAAAAATGCATCCCTTTGTTTTTTGTAAGATTTCAATTATCACCAATAAATTATTTGAACAAAAGGACTACCATATTGGTCGTACTGTCAAACCAAAATAAGTTCAGGAAGATTAAAACAAGAAAATTTCTTGTATTCAACACATTTGACCATTGGCCTATGTGAAAATCTATCTTTGCTCATATTTTGAAGCAGTTTCAAAAATTGTGAGTTGAGGGGCTCTAGGTTATATGTTATCTACAGATCAAGGACATTCACTGATTACTCAATGTCAAAAACACAATATTTATTTGGTTTGGGACATGCTGTATAAATCAGATTGACGCAATAATTTTATTGGTACATAACCATTGTCTAGTATCAACCTAAGAACATAGATCAACACATACTATACCGTACCTTGTATATCAATGATGTGATAACATGTATAAACCAAATGTAAATATCTCAAAAATAAATAAACAAATTGATGAATACAAATCATGTATAAGACATGTAATCTATCATTATTTGGATCACGACCATCCTACATGATGTCAACAAAGCTGATATCATGACTTAAAATATCAATTTGTAACCACCATTAATGTTTTCTGTTGGACAAACACTTACTGCCAGAGCATCACACATGACCTCTGCTGTAGCACCACCCAGCTCACTACAGAAACTGTAGAAATCTTCAAGGTATGCCTGAAATGAAAGCAATATTAAGCTGTGTATCTACAAACGTAATATACAAAATATTATCAACATATAAAACAAGGTTATCAGTGAAACTGTTGAATGCTCCCCGAAAACAACTTTATTAGACTCAAAACTTAATCAATGGGCAATAATTCTGTAATTAAGAAGTTGCTGGCCCTGAATTTGGTATACTGCAAATTCTCCAAGTTTTGATAACACCTTAATTATGCAAAACAGAGTTATGGTTCTCATACACTGCACTTATCGAGATCCTTCGACCTTTGACATTTCATGTTGATACCTCTTGTAGTTTTTGTGATATGCCCTCGACAAAATTCTGATGGGCGGACAGATGGATTAACAAAGCAGCAGTGATATGCTCTACCATTGGGGAACATAAAAACCTGTAAAGTTTATATCTGTAGCTTCAAATAATTAATCAGAAATTTTAGCATCAAAAGTCAATACTCATCTAATACTTGGTTTTAATATCAATGGCTGATGTGATAAAGTAGTAATACTGTTGTAACTGACACAAGTTGTACTGTTGACAGGAAAATATACATATTAGACAGCAAATAAATATGTATCCATGCACTTTTAATACCTTGTACAGCGTGTTTCTGATGATCTCAATGTTCATTTCATCCAAATCTTGTTCAGAAATGCAGTCGATGAAATAAGGAGCTGTGAAAAAAAAAATAAATAAAAAAGGATATTATAATTTGATGGAAACAATTTTATCATTATTGTTTTGATTTTTATCACCAAATCGGGAATGGGTGACTTTAAAATTTTTTCATTATCTACTAAACAAATTTTCGGCAATATATACCTGCATCAAAATATATGACCAGCAAAACTGATCATCTATTCACACCTTCATTTCAAACTTTCAAATTAGCAATCTTAATACAACTAATTGTAGATATGAATACACAACATCACTCTCTTATTACCTTTTATGTATAATTTCCTAATTATCATAAGTAATTACATTGTTGTCAAATATTCGTTCATATCATTATCAACTGTATGTTGAGATGTAAGCAGGTAAGAATTTATCTTTTAGATACTGGTTGCTGCCTTACTCTGGCCAAGTATGTATTCTCTTGTATATGATATAACAATTTTTCTAGAAATATTTGAAATCAAATATTTTCCTTCTTCTTGAATAATTTTGTTATCTACCAACGAAAAAAAGGGCCCAACCCCAGTACAATGCTAAACATAGCCCTTCCAAAGTCATTCCTACTTAGAAATATATCAGGTATAATAGCATATCTATATAATGGTTTACTTACCAAGTGGAGTGTCCACCAACACAGCATTATACAGTTCAGCTGGAGTAGCAGCTATGTGTATGGCCTCCATTTGTTCAAAGCTTCCAAGAGGGTGACACTTGGGGATCAGTTCATTAATTGGTCGCTGGTGAAGTGTGCCGGTAATAAGCAGAATGATATTGTCTATCATGTAACTATACCTGTAACAAAGACATTGATTTGTTGTCATTTTTTGTAACAGCTGAAAACATTATTAACACTTTTTTTGTCTTGATTTTATGTATAAAAAGTTTAATTTCTTCCAACACTGAAAGTTGATAAATCTACACATCCACATTTTTTTTTACATGAAACCAAATGATTTGTACAAGCAATTATACTCATCAGATGACAAAACTAAATGTGACTGATCATGATTTAAAGCCTGATATACAATATGCAAGTAAATATTCAAGACTGGTAAATTTCTTTTCTGGATGAATACTTTTTCCAGGCTACTGGTCTGATGGATGAGTGACTTCTGAAAGTTTTAGCCAACCTCTGTTTAAATAGGCAGTTATATTTACGTTATATAATCCAGAAATGTGGCAAGAGGTTCCAAGCAGTGGTTACGGAGATGCTGGAACTCAATAACAAGTTTTTCCTTAAGTTTGTCATCAATAACAGATACTGTCAAAGGACTTGGCTCATTGGCAAGGAAGTTTCCATAGTCAGTGCTCTGTAGATGAAGCTTCAGGTCTGCAAAGGAAAATCATGCAAGTGTTGTAATTATTTCTATTTTTGCAATATTGAAATAATTCATATTGTAAAAATGTGTTGATACCCCTTTTGATTTTTCTTGTGCATTCAAGATGATTTGATAGGATACTAGGGATGGTTATAACATGTATTGAAAATATTTGAATTACTGAAATACTGTACTCATTAACTTGCATTTCAATTTTAAAAAAGACAATAATCAAGTCCACAATTTTATGGCCTCTCATTCACATTGTCTAGAATTAAGGAACTTGTGAAAAGTGCAAATTTCAGTATAAATATTGAGTATTCAACATGTACTTCCAAATATTTTGCATAATACATTAAAGTTCAAGCTGAAGTGAAAATACATCAACAGTTTTATGAATTTGGTAACATCAAAAGTATTTGATTTTTTCATACGGTGCTGTTTACTTTGATAATCAAGAAGAATATAGACAATCGTCCTTGCTCTATACTTTACAGACACAAAAATATTGCACGGTCTGCAACGTGTGCTACAATACCGGTGGCATACGCATAGATCAAAGTGTGCTAGATTTGTACGCCATTACAAATGTTTTTCAAGTAATTATAAAAGGAGATAAACAAAACTACATATCCAACATTATCATTTGACTCATAATCACATACACCATGTCGCTGTGATCACTGATGATCTGTCATTGAGACGTTATAGGTCATCATGATTCGTCTTACCATCCAGACTTTCACACTGTACAAGATTTAGATAATCCGCCTGTTTTAAGATCCCTCCTTTAAATCCTCGAACAAGACCTTCGAGATAACCATGGTCTATGTTGAAGTACATCTCTGGCATTGCGTAGGCCGACATTCTGGTGTATTATTGAAAATCTGCACAAGATTCTTCCGTTGTCAATATTTTATCCGGAAGTAAGGATCACATGAACGATTGACGCGTCATCTATGAATTATCCAAGGGAGATAAATAATTCATAACCCTTCCTTTTTTATTATTACTCACTAATGTAATCCAGAGCGTGTTATCATTGTAACAATACAGATTACAAGTTTTTTTGTGTGTAAATGTTTGCGTTTGGACGGCATGAGACACATTGTCTTCATAAGTAATTTTAGGATCTATGAAATACACATATTTTCCGAAAAAGATCGGGGCTCCCAAAGGGGTAATGAATGACCAAATAGGCTGGTATTCCATATATGATCAGTCCGAACGAAAGAGATTTGTCAAAAAATATCTTTTCACTTCTATCTTTATATTGTTTTTGTAATCAGGGGCGTGTTTATAATGCACTTCACTTCGCCATCGTAATTTAAAAAAAAAAAAAAAGCATACATACACAAATCTGAAGGCTTGATTGATACCAGTTGAAATAACGATAGTATCGTCGATCGTAATCTGTTCATCAACTTGAAAAGTCAATTTTACATCCCTGGTTGAAGTTGCTAGATATAAATAAAAACTATTTTACGGCATACTGAGTTAGATATATAGTCATTGGTTTATTTAAAGCATGTCAAAAGAGATAAGAAAAATGCATACGGAGACCGGATTTCGGAAATCCGGCATCCCAACGTCACAGAGGCTAATTCTAGGAAGACAGTTCGACCCATAATTGTAGGACTCTCTCGCATCACAAAATTCTTTCACAAAAATCACTTCATACAGTTCATAGGGAAAAAAGTTCTACATACTGTGTATTAATGTATTTATTTTTATTGGTTGCCAGAAAATTTCACAGAACATAACCAAACTACGTGATGTGTTAAAGGTTTCCTGTATGTAAACCCAAAAATACCTCCCAATCCAGATTTATTACAAATGTTTTCATTCGCTGATTTGTCGTACGTTAGGCCAAACATATCTCTTGAAACAAACAACGTCACGTGATTATGCAAATAAGTAAAGGGTATAAATTGGCCGGCGAACATGAATGCGACCTCTTTCTTCAACTAACACACGTGGGCTCAGAAGTGCCGTAGACGATCTAGCAAAATGCCCTCATATAAAGTCGGTACGTGTGTTTACATAGAAGTATGTTATGTCATGCACCAAACTTTACGCCATATGAAACTTCACTTATCACTTCATCATCTACAAGTATCATATTTGACATGAGTTTCCTCATAATATGAAAATGCAACGTTTGCACATAACGAGCAGGTGTAGTTACACGAAACGCATTGTCTTCCTTAGTCCTCAAAATTGTCGAGGCCGAGAACACAATCGAGTTGTGTTTAGAGCGTGGGATTACGTTTTACGAAAGATCTTCCTACAGACCCCTATTTACGGAACTGAAGCTGACAAGTGTACTTGTGCGAGATCAGCGTGGCTAGATTATAATTGTATAGATATATTGATCGCGATTTCTTGGGCAGGGGATTAATGCTGACATATTAATTTGATATATATATAATACTTGTTATCCGTGTGATGTTGCAAATGATTTCCGTTTCCAGCGGACATTGGTTTGGCCGATTGGGGCCGCAAATGCATTGAAGTTGCTGAAAATGAAATGCCTGGATTGATGCAGATGAGAACAAAATATGGTAAGACTAAGCCTTTGGCCGGAGCCCGGATCGCTGGATGTCTTCATATGACCACACAGACAGCAGTGCTCATTGAAACTCTTACAGCCCTCGGAGCAGAGGTAGGGAAACGGTTGGAATGAACTAAAGTGGTCCTTGTGGTGACGTACGTGTGTAAATATACTTGATATATTATAGATTGATGCTTGGCCACTACATAATTAGTATTGGAATGTTTGTTTATTGAAACTCTTGACTTGTACAATTGTTTGTCTTTTCAATGTCAAATGTTTTAAAAGCTTACTCCACACATCCACCAATATCCATGTTGTGCTTGCATAAGTTGGTAATATATGTTTTCTTTTTTTTTTTTGTTTCTGGAAAGTCAAAAAGATATTCTGACTTCAATTTCTTCATTTTACAAAAATGATTTACTTTTCATCAGAGGGAAGCAACCTAGATTTTCTATAAATGTAGTGAAAATTTCACATTTTAACCCCATGTCAATAAATTGTGTGTGCGTGCATTTTTTTTATTAACAGATCATTTGAGCTGTACACCTGTTTGTTGGAAGATTTTTAGCTTGCCTCTGTAAGAGAGGGGGAGCTTATGTTGTCACCCTGATGTAGGTGTAGGTGTCACCATTGGTTTTATAATGTTAGGTTTTGGTGCAAGTGTTGAAAGACATAAGTAAACCCATTATAATTGTACTAGGGTTCTGATGTTTGGCTGTAGGGTTCCTGTACAGATTAACTATTACTACCAGGAGTCAGAATGCCCAATTTTTTGTATGTATTTTGAAACTTTTGGAATTTTATTTTATGTCAAATCTAATGTTAAAGTTTGGTGCAAGTGATGAAAGGTATTAGTAAATCCCTTTAAAATTGTACTAGGGTACTGGTATTTGGTTGTAGGGATCCTGTGGAGGTCAACTATACTACCTGGGTACTGGTATTTGGTTGTAGGGATCCTGTGGAGGTCAACTATACTACCTGGGTACTGGTATTTGGTTGTAGGGATCCTGTGGAGGTCAACTATACTACCTGGGTACTGGTATTTGGTTGTAGGGATCCTGTGGAGGTCAACTATTACTACCGAGGTACTGGTATTTGGTTGTAGGGATCCTGTGGAGGTCAACTATTACTACCGAGGTACTGGTATTTAGTTGTAGGGATCATGTTGAGGTCTACTATTACTACCTAGGTACTGGTATTTGGTTGTAGGGATCCTGTGGAGGTCAACTATACTACCTAGGTACTGGTATTTGGTTGTAGGGATCCTGTGGAGGTCTACTATTACTACCTAGGTACTGGTATTTGGTTGTAGGGATCCTGTGGAGGTCTACTATTACTACCTAGGTACTGGTATTTGGTTGTAGGGATCCTGTGGAGGTCTACTATTACTACCGAGGTACTGGTATTTGGTTGTAGGGATCCTGTGGAGGTCTACTATTACTACCGAGGTACTGGTATTTGGTTGTAGGGATCATGTGGAGGTCTACTATTACTTCTTGGGTACTGATATTTCAGTTTTTTGTGGCAGTTAACTTATTAATTTCTTTTATGAAAGGTCAGGGAAATATAATGTGGCCAAATGAAGATAAAATGAAATATCATTCCTTTTCTAAATTGTTCAAAGTGCACCTATACTACTGGCAATAGTATTTAAGTACAATAGTCACTGTTTGCTTGAGATAAAGGTTCACATATTCATTGATCAAGGTGAGGATCATTGAACCTGTTATCTGTGACCCAGATCTTGCTTGGTCTTGTCTTGTTCATATCTGGCTAGAGACTACACTATCACTATTATCAGTAGGAAAGATGGTGATTTCACAACTTTCACATATGTTGGGTCAAAGTCATTGAACTCTCAAGACCACTTTATCATGCATATCCTGTAACCTTGATACTCGAGAGATTGCAATTACTTTCGCTCTCTGCACCCTTGGAACATGTCATAGCAAAATTGAAGGTTCTCTGTGCAACATCTTGTAGACAAGACATGAAGACTAGTTTGATCCTTTGGTTACATAAAACAAATCTCGAAGTTACATAACAGTTCATTGCACAGGTTTTGAAGTTGGGTGTCTCTCCTTTGTAATCTTCAAAAGGAGCATATCGGCCTGTGGTTGGTCAATTTTTTCTCCTGGAACCAATCAAAGTACTTTGTTTGAGCCTTCCAAGTTTGCCATGACATGTTCTAGGGTGCGGAGAGCGAAAGTGATCATAACCCCTGAAGTATCAAGTATACCTGTAAAAAGCCTCGGGAGCCCAAAAAAAGTCTTGAACAAAACTTGGGAGATTGCAGACGTGTATATGTCACAGGGTTTATTGGAGTAAGTGTCTGTAACATCCTGTTTAATCTGTATTCGTTACTGTACGTGTATGTCCTTATTTGGTGTTACCTGTTAGGTAGTGTCAGTGTCTGTCCTTATATGGTGTCGTCTTGAGACATATACATGTCCATGTGTGACAGGTGAGGAAGTCGTGCAAGAGTGAGTGTGTAGGGTAATAAAACTATGGATACCTCTGGGTGCTGGGCAGAATCACAGATTAGCCACGTCGCTCTGGACGTCCTCAGGGGTCCAGGAGCCACAAATAGCTACAGTTGAGTTACTGACACGAACTGACGGTCGGCGTAATGATGTGGTTGTAATCCTAAACCAGGGGTATTAATAAAAAATGTTCAACACACAACAAATTCGAGTTGATGGTGTGACGTATAGTTTGCTGTGCGGTTGAAATTCTACTGAAATTGTATTGCGGAGGATTTTTTCTCATCAGTTGTCATTGTTTTTGGGACAGGTTCAGTGGAGTAGCTGCAACATTTTCTCAACACAGGACTTTGCTGCAGCAGCTATAGCCAAAACTGGTGTCCCAGTCTATGCTTGGAAGGGAGAGACTGATGAGGAGTACATCTGGTGTATTGAACAGGTAAATCACAGTTGTACAAGGACAGGATCTATGGATTCATGTCTCAATTAAGGGCCATACGTCTCACCAGGGCACTTTATGTAAACATCATCAATGACTTTAATGGCCAACATTTCAAACCTATTTCCCAAGCAATAGATCAACCCACTTATCTGTTAGGTCCAGGATGGTCTAGTGTACTTATTGTGATTGGTTAGTACCATGTGTGAGTGGGCGCCATACCACAAGTTTTCTGATGTATTTTTATACATACCAGGATCAAAACATTTCTCATGGGAAGATTTGGTCACAATATCGAGCAGTCATTGTTTTTGTCTTTCTGCAAGACTTTTATTAATTCATGAGTACTGGTGACACGACCGTATGTTCTGAAACAAGGTTTTCCCTATGCTGTGTTTTACCACGTGATTGGCAATTACAAATAACCACTAGTATAACAGCCAATAAGAAATGATGTTTTGAAGGTTCACACTCGGTCAGCTTTTTTGCCAGCAGTGCTCTTTCGAACACATTTGATTGAAGTTGCAGAGATACACACTGTAGATATATCAACTTTGCTATGATGTACTATTATGCAGCATATACAGTAATGAATGAATTATGTGACAAATTATCAGCTGATGACACATTAGTGTCGCATATGAATTTGATCATGTGTGAATTTTGAACATGACATCATTGATGACAATGATTTATTATAGCACATCAGATGTTTCAAAGAATAAGCAAACACAAGTTGAGGAAAAGTACAATGCATATGAAAAAATGCATCAAATTAAGACAAATTGTCTTCAACCCATTTCTGTAAGAAATAAGCCAGTTTTGCCCATCAGGAAGTTAATTTCTTGGTTAAGACATCAAAAAAAATGTCAACTGTTAATGTCACATTCTGCTTACTGTCACATTTCCCCGACAAATGGAACATGATATCAAATGGTTTTCATTACATTGGGGCCATACTTTTTTCTTTAAACTTCTAAATAACCAATGGATCAAATGTTTTGATATTTGGGTGATGTTCCTAGGAAATGACCTTTATCAATATTCAAGGTCACGGGTCTAATTTCTTAACCTTTAAATGACCTCTTAGCATGAACGAAAAAAGGCCTAGAGGCATGATATTTGGCTGATATGTTCAAAGAATGAACCCCAACAAAATTGGTGAAAAACAAATTACCTTGTCTTATAGGCCAAATTAGTTTAAACATTAAAACAACTTGTCAAACATTTAAACAACTTCTTCTCATGAACATGCATGCCTAGAGGCAAGATATTTTGCTGGTGTGTTCCCAAGATGCAGTCTGACAAAAGTTGGTGAAAAGAAATGATTTTGACTTTTATTCAAGGTCACGGAGGTTCAGATTTGCTAGTATTTATATGTACCAGGTGAGAGCTGCAGGCCCATTGGGCCTCTTGTTATTTCTTTGTGTAGGAATTATATCTGATGACCTCATTGAATGATTGTAAGACAACTGAATTTAGATTTTTTTTTCTTTTTCCAACACTATTTCAATTTTTGTCAGTTACCCTTGTCAAGACATCCTTTTTTATGCATACATTTGTCCATCCTTCATACATTTGTCTGTGCATATCAAAAAAGCTGTAAGAGGATATAACCACAGAACTTCTCTAGATAGATCTTGATAAAGAGAAGTGTACTCTACAAGAACCATAACTCTTTTGTGTTACTAGGAGAATGTGTAGTATAACGAATTCGGGGCCTGCAACTTCTTAATTACAGAATTTTTGCTCTTTGATTCCAATAAAGTCGTTTTCAGGGAGCAGTAATCATTTTCACTGATACTCTTGTCAGAAATGGTAGTAATTATTCGCTGTTTAACATGTTAGTGTAACAACTAGTTAATCCATTGTTGGTTGTTTTGCTGGAGGCAGTATAAAATCATGATTAAATAGAAACTTGTTAAAAATCTGGTAAGTATACATTAACTGACCATTTTGTGTTGAGGCAACCAAGATACTTAACACTACCAGCTAATTCTGCATAATACATGACTGATGTTCAACTAACCATATTCCTATAAGCCATAAGCTTAGGGTTGTAACATCGGACTTCTCAAACACCAGGTCTTTTCCTGCAAGATAAAGAAACATCTTGGTTTTATAATTTCTTTTATCAATGGGTCTCCTCTTAGATAATTGTCAGTTTTAGATTGTAGTTATATCACATGCTAATCATCAGAACAGAATTTTGTTGTTTTTACTTACTTTCCCTTCTCATAATATATGGTTATTTATAACACAGTAGTTTATTTAAAACTTTAAGGATGAAAAAACCCTTGTCAATTATCATTGCCTGTGACAGTATAATGAAATGATGACTGTGCTTCCATATTGAAAGAGTTATGGATAAGTCACACTTCACAATGTAATTGAACCTAAACCAGTAATACATTGTCGAGCACTTGATGTTATCTGTTAATATATTGATTCCTCACAAGGAGATGTGATTCTAAAATCGGCACATATTTTTAATGATGGAGAGTTATCTCCCTTATGTAGATTTTCTACATGTAGATTAATTTGCCAATAGTTCTCAAAAAAACTTCTCAACCTTTACACCAAATATTTTGAAGGTGGAATACAATGTGGAAATATTTGACATGTTTATCATTTATTTTGTATTTTTAATCTACTCTATTAAGGGAAATGGTTGTTATTTCAGAAGTCTGGATTTAGTGTTGACTTCGTAACTGATGGTATGATATTTTATCCGTCACATTATTCTGACAATGTGCTGTCATTCCTGTAAATATACAAACCATCCAAAACATGTCACACTTCGTCAATCAGTTTGCAGATATAATTAGTTTTGTTTAAACAGAGAAATGATTGAACAGATTATTTTGTTTTGTTTTCTAACTCTTTTGATGTCTGTTGTAGACTTTGATGTTCCCTGATGGCAAACCTCTGAACATGATCCTTGATGATGGTGGTGATCTCACCAATCTTGTCCACGAGCGTTTCCCACAGTACCTCGAGGGTAAGTAAATGGTTGATGATAAAAGAAAAAATACTTCTGAAAATCTCACTTTGTACTTTAGCCTCATTTTTGTTTAGATTGGGAAACCCTTTTAGAGAATATTTTCAAAAACATGGAAAAATACTTCTACAAAATAAAGGTCTTTCGCCACCTTGTGAATGGGACCCGTGGTTTTAATATTGAAAAAAAAATCTCCAATCAGGAGAAATAACAATTCAACACAAAATTGATTTAGTAATACTTTACAAGTTTATTTCTTTCTGTAAGTATTGCTGATTATCACAATTGTACAAGTTTGCGATCAAAAAAATGTTATTTGAACAGCACCACCGAAATGATTAGACCATTTGTTAAACTGCCATTATCAAGGAATTTCATTGATAAGAATATAAAGGTTTTGACATAGGGAAGAATGCCCACATTCCAAAGTTCTGCTGAAGAAAAACATTTGAAATATTCCACAAACCTTAATTCAGTAAGAATTCACTTTGACTTTTTCAGCATATTATTGTTATTTCAGATTGAATTCCATGTAGTATGTATATACAATATAAAAAGTATGTTGTCATTTGTTAGATAAGGAAAATGTAAATAATTTGTTTGTAATTCCTTTTACCATGTACAAACAATATCTATACACTTTTTCAAAATACTTCCTAGTACAATATGTTATCTCCCTTTACTAGTGGTACATCAGTAAAATTTGTGTAGCAGTTAGAAAACAAGATATGTGTATACATAATCAGGGATGAAGGTTAACATTCTAGCTTGTTCATGTATTTTTGTTTTTTAAGGGATTAAGGGACTGTCGGAGGAGACCACCACAGGTGTCCACAATCTCTACAAAATGATGAAGAATGGAAAACTTAAGATCCCAGCCATCAATGTCAATGATTCAGTTACCAAGGTAAACTTTCAAATATAAGTATTGTGAATAAAGCTTAGTTGGTGTGAACTTTTTTGCAAATTTTCATCTGTGATTTCAGTGGATAGAATTTTCCCGATGCCTTGTTTCTCATATTTTCAAATAGCATTTCCTTGAACTCCTTCCATCTCATTGATTTGGTCTTGATGAGACGATTGAAGATGAAAATTCTGTAATATAATATAAACATTCAACATTTGAAACTTAAGTTATGAATCTTTATAAGATGCTCATTGTTGGGACGTGTTGGTACAACATTGCATTAGGTCTCAATTTAAAATTTTAATACTTTTGAGGAAAAAATTAAAATGAAATGCATGTCCAGAAAAAGCTAGAGTTTGGTGAAACCAGTCTGCAATATTAAATTGATGAACTTGCGTCTCTAGCTGTTGAGATGGACTTCTACTTTCTTAAAGATTATAACGGTATATTACGACATTGATTTGTTACAGAGCAAGTTTGATAACCTGTACGGCTGTCGTGAATCACTCGTTGATGGCATCAAGCGTGCAACAGATGTTATGTTGGCTGGTAAGGTTGCCATGGTTGCTGGTTATGGAGATGTTGGTAAGGGATCTGCCCATGCCCTGAGAGCTTTTGGTGCCCGTGTACTTGTCACAGAAATTGATCCAATCAATGCCCTCCAGGCTGCAATGGAAGGTAAAAACTTGCTACCAATAAGTTACTTCTAAACATTTAGATGTTTTAGATTATTTTATACCATGACTGAAGAAAAACTGAGGATGAGGATTCTTTGTAATTCCAAATAGTTTGTTTCAGTTTTCAGATTATACATCATAGAGATGTTTTTATTCAAGTTTATTTCACCTATTCATAAATAATTGTGACAGAATGGTCTTTATTCTGAACTGTTAGAACAGTCAATACATTTTGTCTTTTTTGGGTTTTTTTTTTTTATTATTTCTTTTGGGGGCAGGGGGGAGTAAAAGTGCTATAAAAATCTGTATTGAAAAGTAATTGAATTGAATAAATAGTTCTACATTTTAATCTTGTGAGTTACAAGAACAACTATGAATTTAGAAATAGATAAGATAATTGAAGCCTTTAAGTCACTAACTCTTTATACATCCTTTGCAGGATTTGAAGTGACAACTGTTGAGGAAGCTCTGAAGAAGGCCAGAATCTTCGTCACTGCTACTGGGTGTAAGGATATCATTCATGGTAACATGTTCGAACAGATGCTGGAGGATGCTGTTGTGTGTAATATCGGACATTTTGACTGTGAACTTGATGTCAAATGGCTTAATGAAAACTGTGCCAAAAAAGAACAAATCAAACCTCAGGTATACAATTGTTCTCAACTAATATGAACAAAACTTGACAATTTAATGACTTCCCTTGAGTGACTGTTTAGTGAAAAGTACCACAGAAACATATTGATAGAAATCTTGTCTTTATTTTTTCTTGCAGACTTAAATTTTCGAAGTCTAAATTTCCAAAGTGTTTAAAAAGTCCAGAAATTTGAAACATTTACAAGAACTTTGAATAAAGTGCTGCAATTTGAAGATAAATCTTTAAATTTTACGAAATTTTTATATATTTCTGATTCAGCAGAATTGAGAGTGTCAAAGAAAAATATTATTGAGAGAAGTTCTATTTTGATTCTGAATGTACATATAGTGCATCAATAATTTTATGGTTTCAGTAGTAATTTGAAATATGTGAATATTTGTTGTTTCAACGCCTAAGATTGTAGGATTACCATGTCACTGTGTTGATATCTTCAGTGTATAACATATAACAGTTTCCTTATATGACGTTAAAATTGTTGCCATGATCAGCTTGCTGTAGCCAAAGCATTTATGTTGGGTAAGGAAATGCATTAAAAGTGCTTGAGGGGAAAAACTTGTAAAAAAAAATAGGGAAGTTCTTCGATGGCTCTTTCAAAAAGTGGGGAATGGTTTTTCACTAGATAAATTGCAGTGTTCATTCTTTAGAATATTTTACCAATATCTCAACATTTTTGTATCATTTCAGTCTTGGTAGTTTTAGAGCTGTAACATATCTTTTAATTTGTTTTAGATTTTTCCTGCTTTATCTTAGCTTTTTGGCTGTTCAGTCTCATTTTAACAAATTCCATGTAAATTTGTGTTTAAAAATATCATTTAATTGTTTGACAGGTTGATAGATATACTCTGAAGAATGGGCGTCATATCATACTGCTTGCTGAGGGTCGTCTTGTGAATCTCGGCTGTGCCCATGGACATCCAAGCTTTGTCATGTCCAATTCCTTTACAAATCAAGTTCTTGCCCAAATTGAACTGTGGACCACACCCTACAAACTTGGTGTTCATCTTCTACCAAAGACTGTAAGTCATTCTGTTATTATTTTGTGATAAATTACAGATAAATTATAAAACAGGGCAAGCTGGTATGTTGACTGGATAGATTTTCCTGCTAGCACTTCCTCTCCTTTTGAACAGAAATTTGTTTTAAAACAGAACTGTTTTTTGCTCACCTGGCCCAGGGTACTGATGTTGGGCCTGTAGCATGCTGGGTTGGAGGGCGATCAAGTTTGTATAAATATATGAACTTGACCCATTTTCAAGAATGGATTGTGATACAGAAATATCAAGTTCATAAATGAATTAAGACTGGTCAGTTCTTTGGTCCTTCCTGGCTTATTTAAAATGACCGGAATACTTGATTAGCCTTCTCTGCATTGTTATCGCATGTTCCTTTACTGTAAATCACTTAGATTTCATGAATAGTTTATTTTACAAACTTACCTGTTCAGACAATTTGCAAAAACATGATTTCCTGGACACTGTTCTAGTACTGACTCTGAATTAAAGAATGATGAGCTATTAGAGACGAGGACTCGTGAACACTTCAATATGGGTTACCAAATCAACATGGATGTCATCCAAATTACTTTCGCGCAAATAATCATGAAGGATTTTAATTCAGGATGGAATCTCCTCCTGTATTACAGTAGCAATTGTCGATATTTGATATTGACACGAACAACATCAGACACAAAGAGTCTAACTTTACAATCTAAACTCTAAAGAATATTATTTTAATAAGTGTGGTTAATAGGAAGGTTTCATTTTTATGGATTAAATTAAATTTCAGAAATAACCATCCAGTTTATCCTGAGGTGCTAGAAGACATTTGTTTCTAGTTTTTTTTTCAGTTCCATAACAGTCTGTTACATTGTTGATTTTCTATGAGGTGTAGGTGAGTAATATCTGTTCAATATGATATATTCATTGTCTTAAGAATGACCTTTTCATTGGTGAAATTCATTCTTTTATTTTCAGCTTGATGAACAAGTAGCTGCTGCTCATCTTGATCACTTGGGAGTTAAGCTGACCAAACTCTCGGCAGACCAGTCAGAGTACCTCGGAATCCCACAAGAAGGTCCCTTCAAACCAGAAATTTACAGATACTAAGATGTATGGAGAGCCAAGGGGGACTCGAGGACAGTGGCTATTTGATATAGTACATAGATATTTATGCAGATATGTCGCTCAATTCATTAGCAACCTGTCACCCCTATAAGTGTTATTAGACCAATCATGAACTAAGAAAGAGCTCATCTAATTCACTATAATGGGGTTGATATGGTTCTAAGATAAAATGGGTTTCATGAGACACAACTCTTATCAAATTTTGTGTGGGGATGGAATTGAGTACCATTTCATTTGCATGATGAGAATAAGATATATATCATAAGTTAAGAACTGTCATTGAGAATTCAGAAATCCAATTGAACTGTGTATGTTTGTTGGTAATGTTATTTGTTACAGATGCTGTGTTTCTGAATTTCCAATATTAAAGCTTTAAGCTATGCTAATGCAAACAAGGCCTCCCATATATATCTGTAAATGAGTCCATTTGAAATAGTTCTTTGCTAAAATGGAGTGCATTTTTTTCCAGGCATATTGAATATATTTTAAACAGATTTGTTTTCTATCATGTCATCTTCATGAAAAATAAAAAGAAAAAAATATTAGAAATATTGATTTTTGTTTTTATTCAGTAAAGTTATGCTTCAAAGAAATGAAGCAATTAAGGTATGTAAAGACTTAAACTCTCCCTTGATAAGCAAAGGCCTGCAGAAATATTGATTTGATGACAAACGACATCAAAACAAATATTGTACAATAGGTGTTGGTGAATAGGAAGGTGGAATGTTTGCACGATCTCTACGATATTGGTGCAGAGCAGTTTACACTATGATCAAAAATTTCAAACTGTCGCCTTGGATTTGTACAATGTAAGTTTGGTACAGATATTTCCTAAGTACCTGTTAGCTTTTCAATTTCACGTGTGGGTTCCCTTAGTCTCTGGTACTGATATGATGTTGGGATTGAGCAGAAAAGCAAAATGACAGACAAGCGGCCATCTTGAATTTTGACAATTACAGATTGCGATCCCCATTGTTTGGGGAATACTGGATGAATCTTAAATCATTTATGTATGTTCCCCCTAGTTGTTAAATGTAACAACCACCAACTGTTAAACCTTATGAGGGAAAGAAGTCTCGGTATAATCATCATAAAGATGGTGAAAGGTAACGGACTTTAATCAGAGAAGACAAGTAGACAGACAAAAACGTGTAGGATGATAAGTGTTTGGAGGGATATATGTAACGTCTCCTGCCTCTTCGTCAGTGAATCCTGCCTAGTTCATTAATGATGAAAATTATGCATCGTTAGTGGTTTACATAGGATTACTGTAATTCTTGTGTTTTAGTTCAATGTAAGGTAAACTTACTCTCGTATAATTTAACTTTTGCTTTGTTGTACAGTTAAAAAGAATTTTAAAATTTCTAAACGCTAAGGGAAAAAGCTAAAAAAAAAATCATCAATTGTTAAAATTAGAGTTTGATAAAGTATCCTTTAAACTAACCAACATCAAATGAAATAGTTATATGTATTTAGCTGATTATTGAATTGTGTGATTATCTACATCATTAAGGTGTTTTTGATTGAGTATTACATGAATGGTATATGATATCTAGTCACTGATACATAAATTGACATTTTAAGACGAGAGTGTTGACTATAATGCCGACAAATAAAGGTACATGATCAGATAGCGGTAATAAGTGATCCTAATACGTCCTACCTGTACCTGATGGTTTACCTACAGTTTGTACCGTCTCTCTATCTCTGCCTCTCTTCTCTATCTTGGCTACACAAGTAATTCCCACGGTCACACCTATTTTAATAGTACAAACTAAAACCCTAACCCTATCCGGTTACACACTGAAGTCTTTCGAGTCACATTGTAGTCTTTAATGATCGTTATTAATAGTCATTAAAAACTATATTATACACGAATACATGTACTACCTAAATATGTTTCAGTTTATGAAATATAAACATTCCGTATAATATATATTTCAGATCACATGTAATGGACGCCAATTTAAAATTATTAGATATATAACAATGACGAAATTTTAGGCTAGTGCACAGTCCTATCTAGATTTCGATATTTCTTTTGATCAGTTTTGGTCTTCATCAGTGGCCTTCTACGTTTCGAAATTGAGGCCCAAAGCATCTCTGACGACTTCTAGAGGCACGAAACAACAATATAAGCTTTAAGCTAAGAATAAATGTACCTGTCTGTATTAAAATGCTAATTATTGAATAAAATATTGTTTAAACTAATCAACTCTCTGATGCCATTTGATTCATTGACTCTATTTTATCTAATTCTATATATTGAAAGGTGTTATATAATTGCGAGTCTTGTATACAATCTTTGGAATCCGTAAAAATATTGTTTTATTATTATTATATACTGTATACATACTTACTGTATACATACTTTAAGAAAATATTTATTTTAGTTTTGGAAATTTCAAATTCAAGATTCTTTATCAATTTGTATAGCCAGTGGTAATATTAAAACAAGATACTTTATCAATTTGTATAGCCAGTGGTAATATTAAAACAAGATACTTTATCAATTTAAAACAAGATACTTTATCAATTTGTATAGCCAGTGGTAATATTAAAACAAGATACTTTATCAATTTGTATAGCCAGTGGTAATATTAAAACAAGATTCTTTATCAATTTGTATAGCCAGTGGTAATATTAAAACAAGATACTTTATCAATTTGTATAGCCAGTGGTAATATTAAAACAAGATACTTTATCAATTTGTATAGCCAGTGGTAATATTAAAACAATGTTTAAGGATTTTAGGACATGTTTGAAATTTTATGCGCATTTTATCTAAAGGAGACATAAAATCAGAAATTGTTCGAAATCTTGTTTCAAGTAAACAGTTGGTGTTTTAAAAGAATTACTGTCACTAAGAATACTTGAAGCATACTACTGCAGCCTCACAACAAATATTAACGTGTAAAATTCTTGAAGGATTTTTTAAAAATATTCGTAATTTAGGACAAGAGGCAGTAAATAGCCAAACGTTAATTTTGATTTCAGAATATTTTATTGATATAAACAATCAATAGGATTAGACAGCAGATGTTGATGTTGATATAATTACATCATATAGCTGTTTTGTCTACGCCTTGCCAGTTATCATGCTTAAGGACTATATTGTTGAAACCTTAGGAGCGAATTGTACAATTGATTCTTTCAAAACAACGTCAATTAAAGGTGCTTATAATTTGGACCATATTTTAAAGCAATCGAGACACAGGCGTTACAGCTAACCTCGGTGACTAAGTGTCTACCACAATATCGGAGAATGGTAAAACATTGAAGACATAACTTTTCACAAGTGATGCACATTAGTGAAAGCTATCAATGCATTGCCCTTGTAAAAGGGGTCAAAAGTGAAATCAGACTTTTATTTCGTTTAATTTCGTTCGTCAAGGAAATATTCACGATATTTTATTATTATTGTTATTCTAATTAAGACAAGAAAATAAATCTTAAAAAATTATAAGGTATGGTTTTTTCAGTATTTAAAAAAACCCACTTATTTGGAAGAATGCAATGTTTTTCACAAGGTTCCTGGTGAAAGTCTCCCCAAAAGCCTAAAATACTGCTCTGCTCTAAGTCCCGACTTTCTCCATCAATAAGGACACTGATATCTCATGCCTACTCAGTAAAGGTGTCCTTGCATGCACTAGTAACCCCGATATACATATATATGTGAGTTTTTTTCGTTACCTAAACGGTTTTACTCACATACATGCGTACGCACGACTCAGTCATCATGGTACGCTAATTACTTATATATTGAATAAATTCTCTTGATGTTACAAGTGCATAGACCCAAGTAACATATATGTATTGTCGACTATTTTATTATAGTCTTCTTGCATTATATATGTACCGTGAAGTTTTTCAACTTCGTAATAGTTTATCGCAATCGTAAAATGCATGCTTCATATACAGTTAGAAATCTATAGGGAATATTTTGGCAACAATACCAAGTTTTTAGATAATTGACTGGTATACATGGCACTTCAATGACCCGCTTGTTACGGATGCCGGGTTAGGTCTACGATATCAACTTGTATATGTTTATCGCCGTAAGTGTGGTAAGAGGCGACTTAATTTGCTTAATATTCACATCTACCGTGAGGCTGACCAATGCAGTGTTATCGTTATTCTTGATCTGACCTTGTATATTTACTTAGATAAAGAAACAGAAAAGCTCACAATTACAATAAGATCTAACGGAAATATGTTGAGGACAAGTTGATGTTAAAATCAAATATCTACCGGGAATATGTTATTGATAAAATATCTATTGAGAATATGTCCATGACAAGTCAATGTATTCTGTTAATCGCAGGCGGTAAAATTATGACTTTGCTGTTATTATTTAATTTCCTGATATCATATCAACGTTAACCAAGATTTTAATTTTCCTAACTTTCATTTAAGAGTTCTATAAAAAGAATGTAGCTGTATGATACTCAGTCCCGACGTATGCCGTAATCCTTGTAGCAAGTTGAAGTACTTACTTATTAGTAAACCATAGTAAGACACAGGTTTTACGTAACTCGGTTTATGCTGCATTCATGTAAAGACTTCAGCCACTCGCATGAGTTTTTCACAACCCTTTCAATATGAGAAGAGCTGATTTTGTGTCCAAGTCATGAGATGATGTCATGAATCTTTATCAAAGAGCTGAATTATGTTTAATGTGATACTATTTTGAAAACTACAACAGTTTTTTAAGATAGAACTTATATCTCAAGCCAGTTCAGTTTTGGCGTTAGGGATGGACAAATAATGCCAACAAAACATTCACTGTGAAGAGTTGTGATACTTGACTCTGCCCATCCGTAAATAACAGTAATTTGGCAAGTTTTATTTTCAACGAAGAAAACCTAATTATATTTTTTAATATTTTATCCATAAGTATGTAAAGCAATGATCATTAAAGTCGTTATATTGTTAGTACGTGTCTTTTAATCAATTCATGCACTGTCAGCTGAACCAATCCTCACGCTTCATGAAATATTCTGAAAGGTCGGACTATTATATGTCTTGTTAAACGACTTTCACCTCTATATGCTAAACATAGTTGGTGCTAACATTTCATGCATATTATCATATAGTTGTAAGTACATTACAGTGAAGTGACCTATACTTCAAGCTGACCGAGCGTTCTGTAGAAGCCGTATGTTGGGAACACACAGCAGTGGGTTGTCTTCTAACCTTACCTAACCCTGCCAGACGGAGATCGTAGATAATCTGTAATCACACCAATCAACAATAGGCAGAGCCACGCTCCATGCCCATCCACCGTGTACCACACAGTACGATAATAAATAGCCTCTCCGCGTTGGTTAAAGACATTCAACTCCATTACAACACTGAATGTTCCTAAAACATACATTTATATCACTGAGAGTACGTATTCCGGCAAATAAAGAGAACCCTGTTGTTGAACACTGTAATTAGTTACTAATTTTACAGGTGTAGCTGTATATATAGGCTGTTTTCTTGAAAAGTATGTACTTATTACCAACAAAATTTATCCAATTACATCGAAATTATTTCCGAATTGTCTTACTTGTTTGATTGACAGGGCTAATATAGCAGAATCATATTACATGTGAATAGACTAATATAATTGATATTAGGCGTGCGCGAGGCACGACTCTACCCTCGTTACTGTTGCTATCATAAAGATCAGTGGACAGATTGTTTGGAGCTGGGTTATTACACTAGTCGAAAAAGACATTTTCCACAAAACACGAAAATATCGGTGTAGGAGAAGGACGGTGTTATATACATTTGTCGGAATTATACGGAAGATTTCTCACGCAGAATTATGCCGCGAACAAAAAAAATTGTGGATTTTGAACTTGTATCTAAGATTTACATGGGATTGGGCACATAGTAAACTGACATGGAGTGCAAGAAGCATCGAGATTCCCAGGTGGTAATGATATGTACCACATGTAACAACGTGTTTGTGTGTCTGGAATGTGCTACTAACGAGCACAAAGGACATACATTTGGAAAGTTTGACGAGGTAGGAAAAGACATACGCAAGAAGTGCTCAAATTTATCCAACGTATTACGAGAATTACGTTCCGATCTTCAAACCATCGTCCATGCGAAGAAAAATCAAATAAGATATTCGAAAACTGCCAACTCTAAAATAAAACAGCAGAGAGATTTGATGCACAAAGCTATAGATGATATATCCGATTATGTTATTTCTATATGTGAAAAGCAAAAGCTCAGAAATCTTGCTTTACTCAATGAACACGAATCCGCATTGTCAGAACAATTAGTTCAAGTTGAATCCGAGGATGAAAAACTTAAACGGATTATGACTTCCAAAAACGATTTAGATCTTATACGTGGTTCTCAAGATCTGAAATCATCCTCCACGAGACGGAAATCACGACATATACCAAAACCTCTGGAGTTCCACACAGGGACAATGGACGCCAGTGTACTACAACAAATGCTTGGCTCGCTCATTAGCGATCCAGTGGATACTCTCATAGTTCCTTGGCATGACATCCCTGCATCTTTGAGACCTCATGAAAATGATGACATGTCCACAGTCCGCTCAAAATTTCCTCCGATAGAACACAACGGGAACTATCATGAAAATGCCAAAACACCAAGTTCTCCGATTTCTACTGTTTCGTTCAACAAAAAGAAAGCAATTTCTGTGGTTTCTACATTCAAGCATTCTGCCAGTATGGGGATTAGTTCTGTATGCACTGCTAATCCAGGGCACGCCTGGGTGAAATGTGCTGGTCAGAACGAGATCAGGTTGACTGATAAGTCTGGTTACATCAAGCGTATCCTTCGTTTCGGAACTTTGATTCGCGGACTAGCCGTTACTGCCGATATGAGACTTCTCGTTTGCTGCTTTGACGCACGTTGTATAAAGAAACTTTCTCCTCCAAACTACAAAGCGTCGACTTCTTACAGCACAGGCAATTTGAAACCCAATTACGTTTGTTCCACAACAAAAGGTGATTACCTCGTAACGCTTGTAGACAGGATGTACCATGATGTCTCTCATGAAAGTCATCGAATACTTGCCCGATACACAGAATCTGGTAAAGAGGTCGCCCGTGCTCAATTTGACAAGTTTGGCGTAAACCTCTTTGTTTTGCCAGGCCAGGTCAGATTAACAACTAACGGCGATGTTGTAGCAGTAGTTAACGAGACAAGTGAGGAATCAGCACATCTGGTTCTTTTGGACGGGAGTTTTAAACTGAAATTACGCTTCTTCGGTGATGGCCGTTCTATTCCAGGCGAAAAGAAGCATAGTTTTCCAAGAAGACAGAAGAAATTTTATATCAACGATGTGGACTTCGATTCATTTGATAATATCGTGTTTGCCGAGTCCCACACTAGAACCGTCCAAATTCTCGACCCTGCTTGCCAGTTGCTACAGGTTATCCTGCAAGAGATCCACATCCCATGGTCTATCGGTCAGTATATGCACAATCATACGGAGTATTCTTGTTTGAAAAAGGTATATGTGGTTGGTTGTTTTTTCTCTAACTTTCGAAGTTATGTAAATAAAGAGGATTGAGTCTTGTCTTGTATCGCACTGTAAGACATTACACTATAAAATGACACACATTTAAAAGTATGTTATCTTGGTCTTACATAGTATATTATATACTATGCAGCAAACACAAATAGAACGAAAACGAACACGACGTATAGAACCGCTGTATACGGTACAGTATTTGGATCGAAAGGAAAGTCAACGTTTGTATCTTTTTCAGCTGTGAATGAGTTTGGTGATATATGGGTTGGTCTAGATGACGGACGAGTGAAATTACTCAAATAACAGGAAAGGTACGATATTTAAAAGTTAATAAAGACCGTTTGTTTATTACCTGTAACACGATCAAAGAAATGATATATTAAGCTATTGTAGCAAGATTCTACATTGCAACTTAGTGGCATGTTACAATAAAATCAAACTTCGATATCTCGTACTCTGTTAACTCGAAGACCCCATTGCTTATCCGGTCCAGACCAAATCTTCTCTTTATCCTAGCAATGAAGGGCTGAAGTATGTCAAAACATCGAAAGGTTTTTCGAAATTAGGTCGAATAAAGTTTGATTTATGCTATTGTGTTTTAGTATCATGATTCAATATTTTCACTGCTTACAGGTATCATTGCCGTGTATTGAAGATATTTCTGCTCATAATACTACCAGTGCATGGACTTGTGCAATCATCACAAATCCAAAAGAAAGATTGATGGTGAGTCAACCTACCTCATTGGTGTGCGTTTGTTGCTACAGAAATTCCGCCCTGTGTGCTTGGATTACCTACGGCGTTTCGTTGAAAGTGATGTGGTTATGCTGTGGAGTAGCTTGACTGCGATGATAGAATTAATTGATATTGAACTGTAAAACCATAGTTGGAACGGTGAAGTATTTCTGCTCCCATTGGCGCATTCATTCCGTTGCTAGGGTAGTGTGCCAGTGTAAGTATATCTTGTGAACAAGGACAATGTTGGCTTCATTATAGCTTTCTTCTACTATGGATAGTACTTTTATAACAGATTTAATCCTATTTGAAACAACAATTTTTATGGGTCAATTTATCACCAATATAGCATAAAAACTCGACGTCGTTTTATAACGTCACATTTCATTGTAAATGAATAGAATGCTGCAATTTGTGATTAAATTAAAAACATTTACTTTAATTCTTTCATGTTTCTTATTCATAATAAACGGAATGTACTCTTGTCATAAACCATTCTGTTGTTTTTAAGAGTATGCTCCGTTTTCTGTGCCATGGCTTAATAAAATAAAAATGTTTTAGTCCTTAACCAAAGGTTGGCTATTTTAAACTTATTTCATCACGTACATCAAAGAAATAGTTTTGTAGTTGTAAAGCTCACAGCGTAAGTGAAACATTCACCCAATTTTTTTCTATCCTCTTATAACACTTTTGTTTTTTGTCTTGTATTTGTTTTTAAATACATATTTTCCCAAATCTCAACACCAGCGTTAAACTTCGGCAATAGTTTCGGTACACAGAATTGATATGTTTTTTTCTAACTTTCTACAAACATCAATGTCTTGCATCGACCACAAGTTTGTTTTCAATCGTGGCAATTTTCAGAAAGATAAAACTCGGTTGGCTTCTTGTTAAATCTAACTTTGAGACATTGTTCACTAGGCTGTTGAATTTGATTGTTTTCCCCAGAATATTGTGAGCACATTCTTTAATACAAATCCGTTATTAGAAATAATAATGCTTGAAAAGTCAACAACGCAATTAAAGATTTTCAATAAGAATCATTTCGAAAAATAACGCGTTTATTTGTAAAAGAAATGTTCATATCAGTACCTGAAATATGACCATATAACCATCTGGCTATCTACAAGTGTATCAGGTAATCAAATTAATGACGTCTTATGTTTAAAAGATTTATGGTGCATTCATTCAATTAATAGCATTGATAGTTTACTTAATTTGTTAAATTTAATAAACCAGTGCGGTAAACCTACTGAACACGGTTCTGCTCTATTTTACTCTTTGCCGCACTGTAATTATTATTACAATTAGTTATATCCCGCACACATGTACAATACCCTTACTGACCAAGCACGGGATGACAATAATACGAAATTAAATTTGCTTTTGATACGCTACAAGAACCGATGTATGAAACTACAAATCATATCAGTATGACTTTATTATGAATCAATAAACATATGCAAAACGCGGTACTAGACAGTGTTTATCTGTTACAGAAGTACAAGTACTAGACTTCACCAATCACGCACAGATACACACAGTATGTTTTATCAATGAAAATACGTTGAGCACTTCATTGTCTTAATACTAAATCTGACAAAGTGCCCGATCACAGTCCTTTGATAAACAAGCTAAACATGTATTAGTTTCTCTCAGCATTGTGGGGATCAATAGGTCAAAACAGTTCGTACTGGTTTGACGGTTTCGTTTTTATCGTTCCTGAAGATGGAGATTTTTTTCAGATTTTGTGTAAACGCGCTAATTTTTAACGAACAGGTAAGTCACTGCTACAGGATGGTGACGCTGATTAAGAAGACGAACTTGCATTGGATAATTAAACTCGTACTTAATCGCCAGAGACCAAGTGTTGTGTGTACGATGGACTACCGATACGCCGTAATTAGTTCCGGTGACTTTCTACTCTGTGTATGTATTGACAGATTTCGTCAGAAGACGTGCCGATGTTTTGACAAAAAAAGAAAAAAAATCGAGACAACGAATGACTTTTCCCTTGTTTCAAATTGAAGTGACTGAAAAATCGCTTCAACTCAAACCGAATTTTCGAGCCATCCGAAATAAAATTACCAAGATATAGAAGGATAAATTCGGGACATGCAAATTATTTCGACTCAAACGGAATTTCGGCTCAAGCGATTTTGAGACAACGAGTTTCATCTGTATATGCCATAACGAAAGTCACATTACTTGTGTGACAAATCACTATACCTAGACAAGGAAAGATTATCCATGGATCATTTTATGAAAGAAAAAAAACTAGACAAATACAAAATCCAATATTTTTAAGCTTGTTTGGTAACGTTCTTTATTTTTATGCCATTTTAATGTAAGAGGTATTTAAAGAAATTATTTGAAACGATGTTATGGCTTTATATATTCTAGATATTCACATCCCGAAATAGACATGGGAATCCACTAAATATGTTTTCTTCTGAATTGTTTCAAGTGAAATTTTGTTGGCGAATATCAACCTTTGATAAAAAAAAAATGAAATAAAAACTCACATAAATGTAATCTTTCATTTATCAGTCAATATAAATTGTATTGTTAAGATTGCTCCACTGTAACAGCTTGACCAGATCTATAACGAGATAATACCATGTACACAGCACCAGGTTGTACTAATCTTATACCTTTAAAATTTAAACAAGACAATATATTACATGAAGCACTATTGAATACAAAACAATGTACATTGTGTGTCCTGGTCAGCCTTATTTTAAACTTGCTATCTAATGACCAACTACATTAATTATGTAATGTACTTGGGAATTTAAATTAAGTTGCTTCTGTATTAAAATTAAACAGTAAATGTTTATCCTTATCGGTGTATATGTTTATATTATATAAGAATATCTGTGCCTTAAGTACTATACCTCTGTACTATACCTCATTGTTGTACACATAACGGTTATATGTCAGATATAAGAATATCTGTGCCTTAAGTACTATACCTCTATACTATACCTCATTGTTGTAGACATAACGGTTATATGTCAGATATAAGAATATCTGTGCCTCTAGTACTATACCTCTGTACTATACCTCATTGTTGTACACATAACGGTTATATGTCAGATATAAGAATATCTGTGCCTTAAGTACTATACCTCTCTACTATACCTCATTGTTGTACACATAACGGTTATATGTCAGATATAAGAATATCTGTGCCTTATATGTCAGTACTATATACCTCTCTACTATACCTCATTGTTGTACACATAACGGTTATATGTCAGATATAAGAATATCTGTGCCTTAAGTACTATACCTCTCTACTATACCTCATTGTTGTACACATAACGGTTATATGTCAGATATAAGAATATCTGTGCCTTAAGTACTATACCTCTGTACTATACCTCATTGTTGTACACATAACGGTTATATGTCAGATATAAGAATATCTGTGCCTTAAGTACTATACCTCTCTACTATACCTCATTGTTGTACACATAACGGTTATATGTCAGATATAAGAATATCTGTGCCTTAAGTACTATACCTCTCTACTATACCTCATTGTTGTACACATAACGGTTATATGTCAGATATAAGAATATCTGAGCCTCTAGTACTATACATCTGAACTATACCTCATTGTTGTACACATAAAGGTTATATGTCAGATATAAGAATATCTGTGCCTCTAGTACTATACCTCTGTACTTATATGTCTAACGGTTATATGTCAGATATAAGAATATCTGTGCTCTGTACTATACCTCTCTACTATACCTCATTGTTGTACACATAACGGTTATATGTCAGATATAAGAATATCTGTGCCTCTAGTACTATACCTCTGTACTATACCTCATTGTTGTACACATAACGGTTATATGTCAGATATAAGAATATCTGTGCCTTAAGTACTATACCTCTGTACTATACCTCATTGTTGTACACATAACGGTTATATGTCAGATATAAGAATATCTGTGCCTTAAGTACTATACCTCTCTACTACTATACCTCATTGTTGTACACATAACGGTTATATGTCAGATATAAGAATATCTGTGCCTCTAGTACTATACCTCTGAACTATACCTCATTGTTGTACACATAAAGGTTATATGTCAGATATAAGAATATCTGTGCCTCTAGTACTATACCTCTGAACTATACCTCATTGTTGTACACATAAAGGTTATATGTCAGATATAAGAATATCTGTGCCTTAAGTACTATACCTCTGTACTATACCTCATTGTTGTACACATAACGGTTATATGTCAGATATAAGAATATCTGTGCCTTAAGTACTATACCTCTGTACTATACCTCATTGTTGTACACATAACGGTTATATGTCAGATATAAGAATATCTGTGCCTCTAGTACTATACCTCTGAACTATACCTCATTGTTGTACACTTAAAGGTTATATGTCAGATATAAGAATATCTGTGCCTCTAGTACTATACCTCTGAACTATACCTCATTGTTGTACACATAACGGTTATATGTCAGATATAAGAATATCTGTGCCTCTAGTACTATACCTCTGAACTATACCTCATTGTTGTACACATAAAGGTTATATGTCAGATATAAGAATATCTGTGCCTTAAGTACTATACCTCTGAACTATACCTCATTGTTGTACACATAAAGGTTATATGTCAGATATAAGAATATCTGTGCCTCTAGTACTATACCTCTGAACTATACCTCATTGTTGTACACATAAAGGTTATATGTCAGATATAAGAATATCTGTGCCTTAAGTACTATACCTCTGTACTATACCTCATTGTTGTACACATAACGGTTATATGTCAGATATAAGAATATCTGTGCCTTAAGTACTATACCTCTGTACTATACCTCATTGTTGTACACATAACGGTTATATGTCAGATATAAGAATATCTGTGCCTTAAGTACTATACCTCTGTACTATACCTCATTGTTGTACACATAACGGTTATATGTCAGATATAAGAATATCTGTGCCTTAAGTACTATACCTCTGTACTATACCTCATTGTTGTACACATAACGGTTATATGTCAGATATAAGAATATCTGTGCCTCTAGTACTATACCTCTGAACTATACCTCATTGTTGTACACATAAAGGTTATATGTCAGATATAAGAATATCTGTGCCTCTAGTACTATACCTCTGAACTATACCTCATTGTTGTACACATAAAGGTTATATGTCAGATATAAGAATATCTGTGCCTTAAGTACTATACCTCTCTACTATACCTCATTGTTGTACACATAACGGTTATATGTCAGATATAAGAATATCTGTGCCTCTAGTACTATACCTCTGAACTATACCTCATTGTTGTACACATAAAGGTTATATGTCAGATATAAGAATATCTGTGCCTTAAGTACTATACCTCTCTACTATACCTCATTGTTGTACACATAAAGGTTAATAGATGTAAAAAGATGAACAATAACTACACAATGGTCTGAATGGAAATGGGAACTGTTTGACTATTAACAGTATTTAATATAAAAATGTAGTAACAGGGAATAAATGTATAACAAAACACTGGAAATTTATATATCAAAAGCTGTCGATTGTCACCAGGGAAAAACCAAGCTGGTAACTGATATTTTTATGCTCCCCAAACGGAGAGCATATAGTCGCCGCTTTGTCCGTCCATCCGTCCTCTTGTGCGTCCGTTCGTCTCTACGTCATAGTTTTGTCCGGAGCATATCACAAAACCTATAACAGGTATCCACATGAAACTTCATCCATAGATAGATCTTTCGATAAAGAGAAGAAGTGCAGTGAACAAGAACTATTCAGAACTCTTTTCCATTGGCTGATAAAAATAATTTCAATGGTTATTTTCATAGTTTGTTTATTTTAGAAGTTTCGAAATTTGATTTTTTTTTTCTCTTTCAAATTTAAAGCTTACAATATATAAGACAAATAAGGCACATATGCACTTGAGGTCGTGCAGTACAATTGTAATATTCCAATTACAGATAAGACGAACAATGGTACAGTCTTTGTTTACGCAACTGGAACACGGTGGATTTAATTTCTCGTTGTATTTTTAACAAAAGAAAAGCGTGTATATGATACAATTCCTATCCTTTATTTGTTTCATAGCATGTATTAATAAATGAAAATTTACTATCTATTTTTAAAGATGATGTTTGTTACTTTGGAATGTCATTCATAATGATAATATGCTTGAAACGGTATTGTCAACAACATAGATTCATTGAAAAATATACAAACAATCTTATAATGTTCGGTTTGATAGACGTAAAAAAAAACAATGAGACGCCCACTTTGGGTCGTCCTGACAGGATGTATTAGTCAAAATGTTGAATGAAAATAAATAGTATAGGTTTATTATTTCTAATATACTTCACAAAGTTAAGTTTTATGTCAAGATAGAATTGTTACCTTTACATGTAATTTACTCAATAACGATAATATTCTTTTATAGATAATTCAAGGTACAAATACAATCAAAAGTTGTAATTACTTTTTGTATTTAAATATAAAGAAATACTTCGCATTGAAAACAAGTATCGTTATACATTGTATAGTACAAATAGTCTTCAAACATGTTACAATCGTCTGATCAAAATGAACGAAAACATTAAATAGTAAGTATGATAAAAAAGTTATTTAAAATACAATCAATAATTGTTATTGTCACGATATTTGGTTTACAATGCATAGTTACCATTAACTATGTACTGTATCACCCATATACTATTCTGAATCTTAAAAAAACACATGCTCGTATGACTCCAGTCCTGATTTAAATACCTTATATATTAACATTGTAAATAAGTAACGCTATTCAGTATGATAGTCAGTTTATATTTAGAACTAAAGACCAACCTCTGTGCAAAACCTGTAATGTATCATTCGCAATAAAATATATTAGAATTAATTGATCCTCAGCCTACACCGTCAATGGTTAATGGCAACATAACAAACCTAAAAAAATAGCATTAAATATGTATCAAATTCTAGAACTGCTAGGAAGTCAGTCTGTTTCTTTTGGTAGTTTTGTTTACCGTATGTTCGCCACTACTGCTGATGATAGCTTCTAGGACCACCACCGTCACTACTGCTGATGATAGCTACTAGGACCACCACCGTCACTACTGCTGATGATAACTACTAGGACCACCACCGTCACTACTGCTAATGATAACTACTAGGACCATTCCATCATTTCTGCATATCACTTATTCTTCTGCTAATCAAAAAATATGTTTGTACCAATGGTGGATATAATGCATTATTGTACAAAGTTTATGAAAAAGAGTGTTCCTATGTGAACACATAAACAGTCTTTCCTTGTTGTAATCTAAACTACATGACTCATAACGCATAGTTTGTCACTGTCATCCTTTACGAAGAGATTGTGATTACGATAATCCATTGCGAGAGCGACGGGGGCCGCCATGTAGGTCCCTAGAATTTTCAGATGCTCCATTCTCTGATTAAGCAGTTTCACAGTATTTGTTTTTCTGTCTGCTATCACCACATTGTCCTTATAATCAAACACAACGTCGGTCAAGCACATGTTCGTGTCATTCTGAAGATGACGTGGGTCGATATTTTCGTGCCCTTGGTATGCTTGAGCATCACCGAAGTAGCGCCACATTGGCTCTAAATTCCTGTTTATGATGACCAAATCAGATCTTCGTGGACCACGATGGTTGAGCACTGCTATTTTAGTCCCTGTTCTGTTGAAAGATATTTTTTCTGAACAGTAGAATAAATTATTTCCAAACCTGTCTACATTTATTCGTTTTTCTTCTTCTCCGTTGCTGTTGTATCTAACAAGTTCGCATGGACCCGGCTCTGGGGCGATACTTTGATCATACACAATTGCTACTATCTTCCCATCGAAGAGACCAGATTGTACACACCTCGGAGTGAATGGCGCTGTGCTGACGATGTCAAGAACGCTATACGTATCAACCTGTTGTATGAGTTTCTGATCCGGCAAACAAACAAGTAGTTTACCACCAGGAAAACCGGAAAATCCCCCAATTTTGTCAGAAAATGGAATCTGCTCTTTCATTTCTGTTCCTGATCTATTGACTAAAGTTAGTTTGCTTTGGTCTTGATTCTTCACCCAGCAGTTCTCTGAGTTCGAAGATAAAGCAATGTAGACTGCGTCTTTCTCAATATTTATTTTACAATGTTGAATAAGGGAAACTCGAGGTATGTTGCAAGCAGCTTCCTCGCACAGGCTGGGAACGCTGGCTGATCCTGACGACATTGAGAAAGAACTACATCTAGATGGCGTTAAGCTCGCGTATGCATCGTCATCATTTTCAGTCGGATGCGTGATCACTTTATTGCGCGTCCTAGGCCCTATTTTGTCATAGAGGTGAGTTTTCCGTTGCTCTTCTATACGCCCAAACATTTCAACAGGAGAATATCCGTTTCCTGGGATAAATCTTGGTGATGGTAATGGCATCTCTGGAACAACAACTTCGTCCTCAACAGGAGCAGTGACTAATTCGAACTGTCTTACTAGATCTGACACCTTGTCAGTGTTCATAAGTCTTGATAAATCTGCTTCATATTTTGTTCGCTTCTTAATTCTTCGTTTGATGTTTTCAGAACTTTTCTGTAAATTAGCTATTGTTCTATCATAATAGATTTGACACTCATCCTCAAGCTGTTTTTCTTGCTTGTCGATTTCTTTTTTTACCTCTTTCTTTCTACTTTCTATTTCACGAAAGGTTTGTGAATGATTTTCATTTTGTCTAAGAATTTCTTTTTTATTTTTCCTGAGGTCCTGCTCTAATTTCTGTTTAATTCTGGTATTTTCTTCTTTCTTTTCCCGTAATTTGGCGAGAATTCCTCCTTTCACTTCTGAAGTTTTCTTGAATCTGTGACCAGCATGAAGTGTTGTGATACACGAATTACAAACTGGAAGATAGTTACAGTCCTCACAGAATAGTTCTGTCCTTTCACCCGGATGCCTGCTACACCTCTCCATATCTAGCAGCGTTGTCAATACACCCGGTATATAAGCATAGAATGACACAGCTGACGCAATAGAAATTCTTTTACGTCAAATGTAAAAATAGCTGCTGATATATCTATTGTACATAGGTGCATTATTCTTCTAATAATAACATAATTGCAATACTTACTAAGACACGTATAATCTAATTATACCCGTTTAAACGAAGGTATACAAAAGGAAATAGGTCCAACATTACTGAACAATTTAGATGACTTAATGATAAGCCAACATGGGTTTTCCTTCTGTAATAAAAACTTTAAACGGAAATTCCTACTTAATAGTAAAGAAACTGTGAAATAACATTCGTTGGATATGATTAGTAAACGAAGATTCTTTATAATTTGTTGACGAAACGAAGTCTTGCTCACATGACTGAATAATATTATTGGAGTACATTTGTAAGTGAAAATAATCCCTAGATTGAGAATATCACCTACTGTAGCGATTACGGTGTATCAATATGACATTACTGACAAACTAACTTGAAGCAGAGAAAAGCCTATCGACACATGTCACAAAGATTATCATCATCTTTACTTCACATTTCGATGACATATTTTAGCTTGTCGTTCAATAAATTTCTCCAATAATCATCATAATTGGTTATAAATATCAATGAAATCATATTGCATTGATATACATATGAAAAACATAAATAGATTTTACAAGAAAGTAAATTCGATTAAGGATGGACAGGCAGGTCTAGGTATACATCAAACAAACAGGCATCGACATCTTAAAAAAAATATTAATGACATAACGAATTGTTCTAAAACTAAAACTATCTTACAGCATTTGTAGGGATTAATTTGCTATTAGAATGTGTGATTTATATCGTCGGTGATTTAAACGACACAAAAGGAGAGCCGTTTCATCTCTGTTAATTACTTTGAAATCCAGTACATCATGTATATAAATCTTATACAACAGTTCAGTCTTTCAAGAAGGCGATGAAGTAAGGTTATACCGCTAAAATAACTACAAAACATTGGATACATAACAGGGAAGTTTACTAGTTCTAAAAAAGGTCAAAAATAACTACAAAACATTGGATACATAACAGGGAAGTTTACTAGTTCTAAAAAAGGTCAAAAATAACTACAAAACATTGGATACATAACAGGGAAATACATAACAGGGAAGTTTACTAGTTCTAAAAAAGGTCAAAAATAACTACAAAACATTGGATACATAACAGGGAAGTTTACTAGTTCTAAAAAAGGTCAAAAATAACTACAAAACATTGGATACATAACAGGGAAGTTTACTAGTTCTAAAAAAGGTCAAAAATAACTACAAAACATTGGATACATAACAGGGAAGTTTACTAGTTCTAAAAAAGGTCAAAAATAACTACAAAACATTGGATACATAACAGGGAAGTTTACTAGTTCTAAAAAAGGTCAAAAATAACTAAAAAACATTGGATACATAACAGGGAAGTTTACTAGTTCTAAAAAAGGATACAAAACTAAAACATAACAAACAGGGAAGTTTACTAGTTCTAAAAAAGGTCAAAAATAACTACAAAACATTGGATACATAACAGGGAAGTTTACTAGTTCTAAAAAAGGTCAAAAATAACTACAAAACATTGGATACATAACAGGGAAGTTTACTAGTTCTAAAAAAGGTCAAAAATAACTACAAAACATTGGATACATAACAGGGAAGTTTACTAGTTCTAAAAAAGGTCAAAAATAACTACAAAACATTGGATACATAACAGGGAAGTTTACTAGTTCTAAAAAAGGTCAAAAATAACTACAAAACATTGGATACATAACAGGGAAGTTTACTAGTTCTAAAAAAGGTCAGAAATAACTACAAAACATTGGATACATAACAGGGAAGTTTACTAGTTCTAAAAAAGGTCAAAAATAACTACAAAACATTGGATACATAACAGGGAAGTTTACTAGTTCTAAAAAAGGTCAAAAATAACTACAAAACATTGGATACATAACAGGGAAGTTTACTAGTTCTAAAAAAGGTCAGAAATAACTACAAAACATTGGATACATAACAGGGAAGTTTACTAGTTCTACAAAAGGTCAAAAATAACTACAAAACATTGGATACATAACAGGGAAGTTTACATTGGATACATAACAGGGAAGTTTACTAGTTCTAAAAAAGGTCAAAAATAACTACAAAACATTGGATACATAACAGGGAAGTTTACTAGTTCAACAAAAGGTCAAAGATAACTACAAAACATTGGATACATAACAGGGAAGTTTATAAGTTCTAAAAAAGGTCAAAAATAACTACAAAACATTGGATACATAACAGGGAAGTTTACTAGTTCTAAAAAAGGTCAAAAATAACTACAAAACATTGGATACATAACAGGGAAGTTTACTAGTTCTAAAAAAGGTCAAAAATAACTACAAAACATTGGATACATAACAGGGAAGTTGAGAAGTTCTAAAAAGGGTCAAAAATAACTACAAAACATTGGATACATAACAGGGAAGTTTACAAGTTCTAAAAAAGGTCAAAAATAACTACAAAACATTGGATACATAACAGGGAAGTTTACTAGTTCTAAAAAAGGTCAAAAATAACTACAAAACATTGGATACATAACAGGGAAGTTTACTAGTTCTAAAAAAGGTCAAAAATAACTACAAAACATTGGATACATAACAGGGAAGTTTACTAGTTCTAAAAAAGGTCAAAAATAACTACAAAACATTGGATACATAACAGGGAAGTTTATTAGTTCTAAAAAAAGGTCAAAAATAACAAAAAAGGTCAAAAATAACTACAAAACATTGGATACATAACAGGGAAGTTTACTAGTTCTAAAAAAGGTAAAAAAAAATAACTACAAAACATTGGATACATAACAGGGAAGTTTACTAGTTCTAAAAAAGGTCAAAAATAACTACAAAACATTGGATACATAACAGGGAAGTTTACTAGTTCTAAAAAAGGTCAAAAATAACTACAAAACATTGGATACATAACAGGGAAGTTTACTAGTTCTAAAAAAGGTCAGAAATAACTACAAAACATTGGATACATAACAGGGAAGTTTACTAGTTCTAAAAAAGGTCAAAAATAACTACAAAACATTGGATACATAACAGGGAAGTTTACTAGTTCTAAAAAAGGTCAAAAATAACTACAAAACATTGGATACATAACAGGGAAGTTTACTAAAAAAGTTAACTAAAAAATTGGATACATAAAATAACTAACAAAAACATTGGATACATAACAGGGAAGTTTACTAGTTCTAAAAAAGGTCAAAAATAACTACAAAACATTGGATACATAACAGGGAAGTTTACTAATTCTAAAAAAGGTCAAAAATAACTACAAAACATTGAATACATATCAGGGCAATTTACAAGTTCTAAAAAAGATCAAAAATAACTACAAAACATTGGATACATAACAGGGAAGTTTACTAGTTCTAAAAAAGGTCAAAAATAACTACAAAACATTGGATACATAACAGGGAAGTTTACTAGTTCTAAAAAAGGTCAAAAATAACTACAAAACATTGGATACATAACAGGGAAGTTTACTAGTTCTAAAAAAGGTCAAAAATAACTACAAAACATTGGATACATAACAGGGAAGTTTACTAGTTCTAAAAAACAAAACATTGGATACATAACAGGGAAAAGTAAAAAAGGTCTAACAAAACATTGGATACATAACAGGGAAGTTTACTAGTTCTAAAAAAGGTCAAAAATAACTACAAAACATTGGATACATAACAGGGAAGTTTACTAGTTCTAAAAAAGGTCAAAAATAACTACAAAACATTGGATACATAACAGGGAAGTTTACTAATTCTAAAAAAGGTCAAAAATAACTACAAAACATTGAATACATATCAGGGAAGTTAACTAGTTCTAAAAAAAAGGTCAAAAATAACTACAAAACATTGGATACATAACAGGGAAGTTTACTAGTTCTAAAAAAGGTCAAAAATAACTACAAAACATTGGATACATAACAGGGAAGTTTACTAGTTCTAAAAAAGGTCAAAAATAACTACAAAACATTGGATACATAACAGGGAAGTTTACTAGTTCTAAAAAAGGTCAAAAATAACTACAAAACATTGGATACATAACAGGGAAGTTTACTAGTTCTAAAAAAGGTCAAAAATAACTACAAAACATTGGATACATAACAGGGAAGTTTACTAGTTCTAAAAAAAGGTCAGAAATAACTACAAAACATTGGATACATAACAGGGAAGTTTACTAGTTCTAAAAAAGGTCAAAAATAACTACAAAACATTGGATACATAACAGGGAAGTTTACAAGTTCTAAAAAAGGTCAAAAATAACTACAAAACATTGGATACATAACAGGGAAGTTTACTAGTTCTAAAAAAGGTCAGAAATAACTACAAAACATTGGATACATAACAGGGAAGTTTACTAGTTCTAAAAAAGGTCAAAAATAACTACAAAACATTGGATACATAACAGGGAAGTTTACTAGTTCTAAAAAAGGTCAAAAATAACTACAAAACATTGGATACATAACAGGGAAGTTTACTAGTTCTAAAAAAGGTAAAAAAAAATAACTACAAAACATTGGATGCATAACAGGGAAGTTGACTAGTTCTATAACAGGTCAAAAATAACTACAAAACATTGGATACATAACAGGAAAGTTTACTAGTTCTAAAAAAGGTAAAAAATAACTACAAAACATTGGATACATAACAGGGAAGTTTACAAGTTCTAAAAAAGGTAAAAAATAACTACAAAACATTGGATACATAACAGGGAAGTTTACTAGTTCTAAAAAAGGTCAAAAATAACTACAAAACATTGGATACATAACAGGGAAGTTTACTAGTTCTAAAAAAGGTCAAAAATAACTACAAAACATTGGATACATAACAGGGAAGTTTACTAGTTCTAAAAAAGGTCAAAAATAACTACAAAACATTGGATACATAACAGGGAAGTTTACAAGTTCTAAAAAAG